TACGCATACGTCTCCATGTATGTACACATATCCACGATATCCAGTCAGGAAATGATAAATATCATGAGGGAAAACAGAGTGGGAGGATGGGGGAAGGATATTTCAGACAGTGTGGGGTGATATTTTAGACAGAGCAATGAAAGGAGGATTCTCTGAGAAGGTGACATTTAAGTTGAATGAAGTGAGGGATCAAAATGTGAGGATACCTTYTAATGGCAAAAATTTCTATGTCAATTCAAAATTATTCCAAAATTTAAAAAAAATTTAATTAAAAGGACATCTCAGGGAAGAKCGTTCCAGGCACAGGGAAGAAATGGATGAGTCACAGGAAACACCTGGAATTTTTGTATTGATAAAGCAGAAGGTGGCTGAGAGACATGGACGGTTGACCTGTGGCTTACTATGAACATTTTTTTTAATTAACTTTAAACATTTATCAAAGTATACATGCACAAGATTAGAAATCAAATAGGATAGAAAAGTCTAATGAAAAAAGATATCCTGGCCCCACCTGGTCCTTTTCCCCAAGAGCCATCAAGAGTCATGATTTTTGTCTAAGTTTAGCTTACGCCAATCTCTCCTCTTCTCCAAATATAGTCATAGGATATTTTTGGTTCTGTTGGTTACTTTTGTGATTTTCAATAAAATACCCAAGTTCGAGATACCYTCTCATCAGCCAGAGACCTATATCCTTGTTTGTCTCTTTGTCATATAAGGATATTGCAGGTCACCGTCCTTCCCCAACTCACCAGGGCTGGTCCCAGGGGCCAGGCTGTGCTGGTCACCCGTCATCTTGAGCATCACCCCTGACTGGAAATGCTTCACACACAGGCTGGGCCAATCAGATGGTCTCTTCTGGAAACTTGGACCGGAAAYGAAAACTTCTCATTTTTTAGTCGGGTTAGGTTCCTTGAATAGAAGTGACACGAAGACTCAACATCTCACTCCCATCTTGAAGATCAAAGAGTACAGAAGGCAAAACAATTTCTTCCAACTAAAAAATATGAAAAGAGGAGAAGATGAAAAATGGAACAACTGTCAAAGCTCCTGATGGCTTTTTCTTTCCTAATTCTAGTTCTTTGTCRAGGCCTCCTGGTGCCTGGCCTCACGGATCCTTAAACTGTTTGCCACATCCTTCTACCAAATCCCCCATTTTCTCAAGCTAGTGCCAGCGAGTTTCTGCAGTTTACAGACAAAAAATGTTCTCACTAGTACCAACCCCTCACTACATAATTGGCCTCTGGGGGAATGAGGACTATATCTTTGTTCCAAAGTACGGAGCAGATTGTCTTGCACTTAGTAGGGACACAAGAAGCAACGATTGAATTGAATGACTTGTTGGTGCTCCTTAAATAACAGAGCTACTCTCTTTCTTTGTATGCTTTTATTAGTGCATTATAGTTATCCACAACAGTTGGGTTCATTTTGACGTAATCACATATGCAAGGAATTTGATCTACTGCATTTCAGGACTGGTACCCTACCTCCTGCCCTTCCATTCCCTCCCCTCCCCCTCCCTCCTCTCCCCCTTCCCTCTATTCCCATTTATTTATTTATCTTTAAATAAAGATAATTTATATATTTTTTAAATATATATAAATATATATAATTTAAATAAAGATAATTTATCTTTAATAAAGATAAATGCATTTATTTACTTATCTTTAACTGATGATTTATAGATATGCATAAAGGTGGAATTAACCACTTTCACGGGGAACTCACTTTTCCGGAGGTGAGTAACTGATATAAAAGGATGAGCAGGAAAAAAACACAAATAAATACGCTGTGCCAGCTACTCACTAGCTAAGAGTCAAATGGGAGGAAAAAAGTCTTAAGAGAATCACACCTGAGTTTCAAGCTGTCTGAATGCTCTGCCAGACTCTTGCCAGATAAGTGGAATCAGAAAGGGTCATCAGCCAACACAGACGACTGTAGCTCCCTGGCTTTGAGGGAGGGCTCTGGGAATCTCTGGGGGCCCTGATTGATCTGGCGAACGAGCCCTCTAGTGGTGAGAAGGGGAAATTGCACCTAGGCTTAGAAACAAGATTTCTACGCACCGCGTACACACCTACACGTTCTATTGAATGAAAGGATGAGGTCACCCCCTAGTAAGTGGGGAGGAATTATCAGGAACTAACTGGCGGTCTCCCTGCCTCCGCACTCCCACTCCAGTCAGGTGTTCTGACTTGCTCCATATGCAGGATCAGGACTTCCCACACTCTGTGATCAGCTGCTGCTCTGGACAAGAGTTACAGAGGATGCTCTTGCCTCCCCAAGGCAAAAGCTCAGCATACCTCGCCATTCTTGCAACTCTCTTGCGTCCCCTTTCTCCACGTTGTGACTGTGATTGTTACCTTCATCTACCTGGGTTCCTGACCCCTTCTTCCCACCAGCCTACCTGGATACTTGATTCTTCTGCAGAACAACTTCTTGGCCACCACACCTGGATGTCTGGGCTTCTAGTACAATCCGAGGGGTGGAGATGGATCTTCTCTTCTTTTACCGCAGATCTGGTGAATGGAGAGATTGGCACTCTCTCCCCAAGGCCCCTTGACTTTCTGTCAACGTGGTCCTACTTTAATAGAATACCTTTCTTGCCCYGTACTGGAGTAATGCAAGAATAAAATGTCTTGGGGTGACTGTTGGGTCAGTATGAATTATTTCATATTGCTTAAGTTTCTTAGAGTGGGAAAGGAAAATTCACTAATTTAATAACTTCCACCAGAAAAGAACAATTTCACCTCCCTGTTATACATGGCCTTTTCCTTAAAAAAAAAAAAACTAATAATAACCAAGGCAGGATATTTTATGGAGAAGAGAATTTTCATTAGAGGAAAAAGAAACAGCACTAAGTTACTGGTAGGAGGCTTGGTACAACTTACTCCATGATCTGCTGGGGTATGGCTACATGTGATCCTGGCCCCAAGTTATATGTTGCAATTCTTTTGTTTATGCAGCAAATTTTCATGATACATTCACATGAAACCAAGTACATACATGTAAAAAGCTACACATTCCAATCCATGCAGCATGCTCACTGCTGCATGTTTATATCAGATATGAGCCCATGGGCCATGACACTGCTTCGTACACATAGGTTTTGCAACAAATCTCCAGGCATTCAGAACTCGAAGCAAAGTTGAACACAGCACAGGTAAACATTCAAATGCAAATAATACCATAATGGCRTATTCAAATCAATGCATGCACATACATGTATATCTAACACCACGAATGAAGTCTTCAAATGACCTTAACACCAAATAAAAACAGCAAAGTCATGGAGAAGTTGGGAGTGGCTTTTGAGAGCCCTCTGATACATGCTGCTACTCAATCAACGGAATAGTAGTTCTCAGACAGCCAGAGATGGCTCCGTGGCAGTATGCTGTCAGTGATTATCTCCTATTACATTTTTGTCCAGTAAAATAACACTTAACTGTGACAGCTAGTTGTGGACACATCTCAGGGACAGCAGAAGCAACTCAAGCAGCCTCGATTGCAAACACTCAACCTTTGACTGTATCAGTCATATAATAGCACAAGAAAAAAAAATAAGAGCTAGTCTGTAGAATGTCTTCAGTCAACTAATTCCGTGGGTGCTCATGTGTGTGCTGGAAGACATGGTGCTGGCTGGCTCAGGGCTGATCCTTTGCAACATGGTCTATTYCCAAAGGAGAGAGCTTTCAGGTATGCAAAGGCATTGTACTTTGGACTAACAAGGAAAGCAGCTCAGACTTCACCTGTTTTGTGGTCTGCCTTCGACATGGATGTTAACAAATGAACATCACAGGGCGTTCTGGAAAGAATCTGACATTTTCAATGGCTCTGGCATCTTGGATTCATGACCCCCTCAAATGTAAAGGTGTTAACCTATGTAAGAGGTTTAAGCAGACCCCCAAATCTCACATCCCATCACTCAAGGTCCCTGATATGTGAACAACAGAACATTTAGTTCCTTTGGTCCTTTTAGGAGTACATGTTCATATTTATATGAAGAGTTTCCTGGTCTGATCTGAGCACGTTATCTCCCGTGTAAACCAGAGCTCCAGAGAAAGGAGGGTAGACATATTGGTTTGTTTTCTGGGGAACCAAATTGAGACAGACTATACACAGATGCGCCTGTGCCAACACTTTTGCCGGCCCAAGTGAGCCACAGAACCGTCACCCAGACCCGTCGGTCCCTTTAAGAAGGCTAGGTCTCTCTGATCTTCTCTGTCCCCAGTGGGTTTCCAGCAGCTCCCGCAGCAAAAAGCAAACTTGCCTGGCTCCCGGGGCCCGGGGCGGGGGAGGGGAGTTGATTGGCGACTGCTGCGTCGGGTGGGCGCSGAGAGAGCGCCAGAGTGCGCTGCGGGCTGCTTCCCCTTCCCCTCTCCTTAACCCTTGGCGGAGCGGAGGACGAGGATCGTGCCGCAGCGCCAAGAAGCCAGGGCGCTGACTGCCCTGGGCTCCCGAAACTTTGCCGGAGCGTGGGCTGGACTAGACGGAGCCGAGCCGGCTGCCTGGCCGGGGAAAGGTGCCCGGGGAGCGACCCTGGTGCATCCCGGGTCCCTGGCCCAGGCGCGATCGAGGCAGGGGTGCAGCTGCAGGAGGGAGCTGTCCGTTCAGCACCACGGACCAGCCACCYCGGGCGGGAGGAGCCGGAGGCCGGGCAACAGGCGGGGAGCTGTCCCTTCAGCACCACGGACCTTTGCCCTCCCTGGAAACCAGGCGGCCCCCGCCCAGGACTCTGCCTTTTTACCCAGTTTGCGCGGGGGTGTGGGAGCAGGCGGAGAGCTTTCCTGGGAGGCTGGGGAAGCAGTGAACACTCTTCTCAGCGATCGCCTCCCAGCAGTGCTATTTTTTGCCATCCGCCCTCACCCCCAGCACACGCGCTCGCGCACACACACACACACACACACACACACACGCGCACACACACACACGCGCGCGCGCGCGCGCACACACACACACACACGCACACACGCGCACACAGACCTCTCCGGATTTCTTTTCCTTGAGTCTCCCGGGGCTGTGAGGAGCCAGGCGCATCTCAAAGCGAGCTGGAGGCTCCAGGCTCTGAAGCCATGCCCTGCACGAACCCTTGTCCTTACCAAGCTGCTGAGGAATGAAAGGAAGCCAGGGATCCTCCGAAGGCAGCAGTGATGTGGACCAACCCCCTGGAGCCAGCACCCTCCCGAGGGCCATAGACGACCCAGGGAACTGGAGAGAGCTCAAGACAGGAAACCCCAGCTTTCCCAAAGTCCCCGTGGATGCTGACAAAAGGAGATCTGAATTGTGGGGAGAGCCTGTCCTAGGTTACACAGCTGCAGAGTGATTTTTTTTCTCCTCCGGCACTGAATCTCCCCCCCCTCCAACCCCCAGACGTCCAGAGTACCATGAAGAATTATGAGGATGTGTGACAGAGGTATCCAGATGTTGATCACCACCGTGGGAGCCTTCGCAGCTTTTAGTTTAATGACCATTGCAGTGGGCACGGACTACTGGTTATATTCCAGAGGCGTGTGCAGGACTAAATCTACAAGTGATAATGAAACCAGCAGGAAGAATGAAGAAGTAATGACCCATTCCGGGCTGTGGAGGACCTGCTGCTTAGAAGGTATTTACAAATTCCTCTCGATGGCTCTGAATTATCCGGCTTCTGATATTCTGGTGGGTGTTCAGGGAGCTATGGAGGCAGGGGTGGGGGAAAGAGGAATAGTTGGGATGATTGCTGAGAAGGTGCAGGTGTCCAGACTGTTCCCAGCAAGAGCGATGCTGTGTGGGATGAAAGTGTTGGATCTTGTTGATTGTTTTTGGTGTAAGCTTCATGTGACGAGATTTGGGTGACACTCGAGGCAGCTTCTGCAGTTGAGATATCACGAAATCCAAAATCCTCGGGCATGTTGTGAACTGCTTGGGTCTCTGGTTAGAAAAGAGGGTCTTTACAGTTGCTTTGATTGCATTTCAGTGGTGGGGGTGAGGAAAGGAGGAAGCCAAGATAGAAGGGGGGGGAGAGAGAGAGAGAGAGAGAGAGAGAGAGAGAGAGAGAGAGAGAGAGAGAGAGACCCTGGTCTGACCTGGTGCATCCTGAGCTATTTCTTAACATAGTCTTTTCAGTTTCTTCTGAGTTTGGTCTAACTAGATATTGGCATAAACTTCCAATGCCAACCAGTATCAGGGTAACATGTGGAAACCCCCACGTCCTRCTACACACATTTAAAGAAAACTTCCTTATTTATACCTGTGTCATTATTTCGGATCAAAATAAAACGGAAGTCTTTGGGAATTGAATCCACCTGCCTTCATTCCTAAATCATCCCCAAACCCCACAAATAATATTTCATGGCATTTACATAAGGTTGATTCCCCCAAGAACTGCAGCTCATCACTTCTAATTCTAAAGATTAGAGGATTTGTTCTACATTATAATGAAGAGGACAGAGCCGTTTTAGAATGGGTAGCCTATCTCACTCTCCAACTTGTTTCACTACATGAGGGTTGACTCTCAGTATCTCTGGGCAGTGCCTGGGTATCATGGGGAGAGAAAAGAGAGATAAAGAAGAAAATCAAAGCCCTGTGGAACCTGGATGCCTGAGGGAAGTCATTGGATTAGAGGGACAGTAGACAGTTTTTTTTTTCAGGCTTCTGAGGAATCTGTCAAGCTTATTACAGTGATAAGCAAGAAAATATGGATTTCCTATGTCCTGCCCTCCCTTCCTGTCATAGCTCTCTATACCTGCATTCCCAGTGGCTGGTATTGTCAGAGCTTCTGGAGAACTTGCATTTATGTAAATGTCTTAGGAAGTCATGCTATGACATCACTCACTAGTGTAATATTGCACCATCCCTGGCCTGCTTCCCATGCCCTGACTCTGAACAACTGCTCTCCTGACTGTAGCGCTACTACAATTGATTGTGTTTCCAACGCATATTTGCAACTGGTGGGAAGCCCAGGTAGGAAGGGGCTCCTTAAATTGCAACTATGATCATGTGAAGTCGAAAGTCCCGAGCAAGGCTGCAAATGACCTGGGTAACCTTGGCCAAGACCTTTGCCCTCTCCAACTCTCTGTGTATCAATAGGAGCAATGATTAGTTTGCAATTGGTGGTCTTGCCTAAGCGTTCTCCCAMATGTATACTGTATCCAAGGCACTGACTGAAAATTGTAAGATGATTCTTTCCTAAACATTGACAAAATGCTAATATTTGTGATTATTTGTGATCATGTACAAGCTGGATGGTGAAATCATTTTCCTTAGGGAAATTCCATTTCCTATGTTGGCAAGAAGGAATCAAATTATATTTTGGTGATACTGGGATATGGTGAATGTTTGGATGCCTACATAGTTCCAGAGATGGCATTTAAAAAAAATCTGAAGCACCTCTCAAGCCCCAAATGGCACATAGGTATATCATGTTTTAGTCATTTATAGTCCTTCTGCTTCTTGCAACTAAACCTGGAAGTACCCAATGAAACACCAATTTTGGCTTTCCCCATTATACTCTATGAAAAAAAAAATCTGTCAGAGCAGAAGTGTGGCCTAAAATTTCTGAACCCTTGCTCAGAATTTCTCAAGTGATGGTTTCCTCTTTTTTCCCAACATCATGTCCTACACCCACAATTTGCACAAGGAATTGGAACTCCACCCAGGCTTTCTGTGGGCTTGGTGGGAGAAGTGAGAAATTGACTCAAGAAGGGAACTGGATGAATTGAAGATGTGTTCTTAGGCAAGTGAATTCTTCTGAGAAAATTCATTTGCAGTCTTCCTACAGTTTGGCCCAGCTAAATCTTTTTTRTACTTCTGAAATATTAAATACAACAAGATGCACAAACATTAATGAATCACAACAAWTTTTTTTAGCTAATGAATACAGCCCTATCACTAACATGTAGATGGGCCTGGCTAACATTTGAAATGGGATTCTTTCTTAATATASCCAATACATCAAGTGTTCAAGGAATTTGCAGGACCCTTTGGTGTCTGCATGGTAAGATACAGGCTGCAGGCAACATGTATTTCCATCCTCTGAGATTGAAGATGCATAGCCATCTCCTATTTGGTATCTCTTTTCTGTCCCCGAGCCTCAACATCTTCATCTTCTGGTCCTTTATGTATCCAAGGAGACCGGGGGTGGGGGTGGATCTTGTAGCTCAATTTTCTTACAGATCCAATCAGAAGAGTTCCTCCTTCCATACATTTTTAAAAGCCAAGAGACAATGTGACTAATTTGTCCAAAAGAAGAAAATGCTCAGGGGGGACATGGCAGTTGTCTGCAGGTATCTGAAGGGCTGTCATTTGGAAGAGAGATTTGAAATGTTCTATGTAGCCTCAGTGTGGGTAGAAGTAGGGACTAGAGTTAAAAATAAATAACTATCCAATGTGGAATGGGAATCTCCAGGAAGCGATGGAGTCCCYGACATCAATGATACTCACATGGGAGAAAATAACTTCAATTGTTCCCTGACTTGACTAGACATTGGAATCTCATGATGAGTTTTTCCAAAATAGATCATCAGAACCCACAATTAAATCTCCCGCTTCTATATGTCTATGATGGCTCACTAGAGTCTGAATTTTCTAAGTCCTCCAAGCAATCATGAGGTTCAAGCCAACACATATTGAGAATTTACAAGGGGCTTGGACATGACTATGTTTGATAATGAGGATCACGTCACTTAAGGAAGAGAAGGATATTTCCAGTTTTTATTCCCATAACCCACCAGCAKGTCATTTATCTTCAGCCCTTACTACATGCTAACACTGCTCTATGAATTTCAAAAAAAAAATTCTTAAACTTTTGATGAAATGCTTTCCTGTTCAGAAGAGCTCAGTGATGTAGGTACAATTATCATTAATCTCATTTTATAGATGAGGAAACTGAGGGAAAAAATACATAACTTGCCCAAGGTCACAAACCTCCACTCAGCCGTCAATACTTAAAATCTACACTAGGCTGCTCCTCAGAGCATTTGCTAGAGAACATTAATTCGTGTTCTGATGGATAGTTTTCGACTGGTACAAGCATCAGCTCAGGAGAATGCCCAGACACATGGGTTTTTCCATTCTAGAAGTCCCCGATCTCAGAATACTCAGCCTGGTGTGGCATCAGCAGGAGAGCCAGAGCCACCAGATACCACCAACTCAGAGGTGGCAAAGGACACACTCTGAATGAAAAAAAAAAGATCAACCTATGTACAGACACCCACACTGAGAAACCGAAAGGAATGACTGACTCATTATCTGAAAAAGCATGTGAGGCATTCACAAAGCAGTGCCCGCCCTAACCTGCAGCAGGTTTTCAATGGCAGCCCGGGAATTGSAATGAGAACATGTGCAATATGGAACTCTCTCATTAAGAAAAACCTCTTCAAGTCCTAGCTACAACCAAAGCAATGTATTTCATGGGTGGAAAGACCACTGGCCTAGGAGCTTAGAAGCCCTGGGTAATAAATCCATTTAACGTTACTTACAGTTAGCTCCATTGTGTGACTGGTTGTCCTCCATTGGAATCCAGGTGACCCAATTCTAAGAAGAAGAACGTATGGTGAGATGAGGGAGTAAGAAATACAAGTAAATGTCCGTGCSGCCTAGGCAAGCAGTGTGAAGTGTGAAACAGGTATTTCAAAGTCCTCTGGATTCTATGGGSCAGGGTTTTAGAATACATTTGGGAAGATATATGGTACCTGAAACTTGGTCTCAGTGTGGGGGCAGTAGGGAGTGGTGGGGACTGTGGCCAACTGAAGGGCACAAGCACCATCTAAAAAAGCARCTATGACTTGACTTCGGTTGATTTTCACCTCGGGGAGATGTGCACCCAATGGGGCCCAGAATTCCCTGTAAAGAGAAGCCAGGGTGCAAAAATCTCTTCAATTTTAAGACGCGGGCAACTGGTTTGCCTTTTTTAAAAATCTGGCATTCATTTGTTCCATTGTAGCTGAACTTGGCCTACGGGATGCCAGTTTTGAGTCCCCCAAATTGCCTCAGTGCCCTTTCTAATCCAAATTTTGGATATTTTCATATCTGATCCCTAAATTGTCCTTTATAAGCCAATAATCACTTTTTCAATTCGTTTTTTTTTTTTAAATTGACTGCTAAGAAAAGAAAGCCCACTTAGGATTTTAGGACAGGGGACTTAAAATTTATGGAAAAGGGGTTCAATAAACTGCTGTTTCTGCTCCAGATGGGCCTAGATGACACCAAACATCTGGCTGAAAAACTGAAAAAAAAAATTAGCCAGTCATTAGAAGTTCCCCACTATTTCCTCATCTCCAGATGGTTGACTTCTTCAGCCAGATGGGGTTCCAGCTTTATTTATGTGTTCGGAAGGCTTCAGGGAAGCTGCAAAGATGTGGTTGAGGATGAGGGGAGGCAAAGACATCCCAGTTATGGAGGACTTCCTGTGTGCCGAGCCCGGGGCTCAGGTGGAGTGACTCACGTTTGGCATCTTCTACCCCCCAGGAGACTCGGAACGCCACAAGAACCCCTGGGTTTGGAGACACTGCAGCTTAGACACAGTTCCTAAGTAGCCCCTTCTGCTCCCCCAGTCCTGGACTGAATGCCACACCCCCCCTTAGCCATGGGTGTAGAACATTCTAGAGCTCTTCTCCCTGTTCCCTT